ATCTTTAAAATTACCAGAGAGAAAAGATAAGATATCCTACAAATGAATGAAAAACTATCATTAGACTTCTCATTAACACCATCACCACCAGAAGATAATGGGATAATATCTTTAATATGCAGAGAGAAAACCTGTCAACCTAGAATTCTATACCCAGTTAAACTATCATTTAAGAAGTTTTTCAGGCATACAAAGAATACTAGAATTTATTAGATACAGACTCTTGCTGATGATATACAGTTGATCCTTGAACAACACGGGTTTGAACTGCATGGGTCTACTTACATGCAGATTTTTTTCAATAAATACAGTCAGCCTTCTGTATCTAAAGGTTCCAAATTTGTGGATTTAACCAACTACAGATGGAAAATATCTGTGGATGCAGAATCTGTTTATATGGAGGGCTAACTTTCCATATCTGCAGGTTCCACAAGGCCAACTGCAGGACTTGAGCATCCATGGAGTTTGGTATCAAAAGGGGTCCTGGAACCACTTTCCCATGGACAGTGAGAGATGACTGTAATTGTTTTTCTTTTGACTGATTGAAAAGGCATATGTTCAATGAATGTGGGTAGGGAATAGCTTTTCATTCCACTAAGCACCTATTTTATTCCTGCCACCATGTTATGCATTTGAGATACAAAGCTACTTATACAAAGAAACCCCTTCCTTTAAGGAATATAAAAGTAACAAGTCCATTTAAAAAATATATAGCTGATTTAGCTTTTTTCTTTTGCTTATAAGATATTTATCTCTTTAACTTACATTCAGGTTCATTTCATTGAAATAGACAAAAACAACTGTATGTTCTTTACTAGCAATCAATTTCTAATGAAACTAAATTGACATCTTCAAAAGCTACTGAGGCTCAGATAAACAAAGACAAAGTGCCAGGCGGCCACGTTAAACCTGGGCTTTGCATCAATCAGTAATGTTGAAAGTACTTTCCTTAAACACATCATTTTAAAAACTGTATATGAAAATATTACTAATAAAGAGAGGAAAATGTTAATCTTAAAGATAAGCTTAAAAGAGATTTGGTGCATTTATTTTCCATCACAAAACAAGATGAACATTTAAATATCCTAATAAAAAAAGGCTCATCATCTGAGATGATTCCCAAGACATAATTAGTCATTATTGTAAGGAGAGAA